TCACCAAGCGCGCTGCCCAATCATGTGGGCACAAAATACTAACGGGCATCTCCTTCGTCACTGACTGCCCGTCGTCATTCTTGACTTTCAGGCAGGTTAACACCTGCATTGGCTCTGGGGCGGATAGGTTGGAGAAGTGCGCTCTGACCAAGTCCCTGCCGCAGTTGCTTGGCTGCCGGCCGAAGGCGCCGAGGGCCGCCAACGCCCTCGCATTTGGACCGTCGGTGCCACTGTCTATTGCAGCTTTTGCAATCTCTTGGACCTGCGTGGCCGACATGAGCTCCCACGCGAATTTCCTCATCAATAGCGCCCAGAGTGGCGAATGATCGCCGCCGTCATCTACCGCGCCATGGCGCGAGAAAGCTGGATGACCAGTCCGCGCCAGCCTCCTCTGTTTACGCCCTCCTCTCGGTCCCATGTCGCGAAGATGAAGGTTCGGTGGAAGTCGAACGCCTACAACTCGCGACTGAATCACGCCAAAACGGCTAAGGACAAGAGGGAAGGGAAGATCGAGGACATGTTCTGTCATGTTCTGCCACTTCAGATTAGGCTGATGGAGATTCTTTCTGAGAGCCCCTCCAGCCAAATCCCTAAATACTAGTGGCTGTCATGCTGGATTTCCCCAAGTGCTCCTCCCGGGAGGCCCGCTGGAGGGCCTCTGGAAGCACATTGAAGCCACCCCTGGGCTCCTCCCAGGAAGCACCAGGAGGCACCTGGAGGCGCCAGGAAGCACTGGCGGCTACCCCTGGGAGGAGCTATGAAGATCGAGGGCCGAGGAGGACCGACGATCGATAAGGCGGCCGAGGAGGGAAACCGAGGAGGAAGGTAGTGAGAGGGGGGGAAGGCTGCGCGTTCCCTGGGGCTGTCTGGGGCGGTTCTAAAAGCATTCATATTCCTCGTCCTCGCCCTCGCCACCACGGCTGGATCCCCCTTGGAGTCCTTGTCAAAACGCACGCCAGCAGAGCCGCGGCGAGGAGAGTGCCGGGCACCAGGCAAATGACTCCTCCTCCTCCTCCTCGTTTTTTTGTTTCCGAACTCGTTTGAATAGTGCCCGTGCCCGCCTCCTCCTCCCCCCCCCCCCTCCCCCTCCTCATCCTCCTCCCCCTTTCCCCCCCCCCCTCCTCTGTGTTTGTATGTTCTACAACGCTTTACAATAATGACAAGTTCCCTCACTGCTTCGCTCCCCACCGTATTTTTCTCATCGAGGGGGGAACTCGGCCCTCGAAATCCGGATTGTCGACATCCTGAGTAGCGAGCGCAAACCAATCACCATCCTCAGTCGTTAGGTCACTCGTCCTCGCCATCCTCTGCAATGCCGTCCATGTTCGGGTTCTTCTTGGCAGTGGTCGTAATGCCCCTCTTCTTCAGGTCAGCTTTGAACGCCTTGACGTCGCGCATGACGGCAATGCAGATCAGCATCATTTTATTCACGGACTCTTTATTGCCTTTCGATGAACAGCGGCACTTCTTGATATCCTCAAAGACGTTGGCCATTTTCTTCTGCAGAACGCGCTGCTTCGCGATGTCGCCCGTGTGCGCAGGCGGGCCCCTTTGAAAATATGTGATTGACACTTGGTCCAAGAACGAATCGTCCTTCTCCATCGCCATCTTGAATTGGATGAGCCTCATCTTCACATCTTCGTTTGCCACGCAGTCGATCTGTGACATCGCATCCCAATCGACAGCTCCGCCTGTGCCAGCCTGCGAAGCACTCTGCTTCGGCTGTTGCGTAATCTTCTTGATGCCGAGCGTCTTCGCCAAGTCTGAGTCGAGATTGGCGGAGCCCTCTTGCTTCTCGTCAGAGTCGTCGTCCTCGTCGCCAGGCTTGGTAATGTAGAAGCCATCCTCGTTAAGCAGGTAGGGGTTGGCCTTCTGGAACTTCAATAACCCCTTGTTGTCCACGGGCTTCGTCGCGTCCGACTGCATCTTCAACTTCTTACCGAGGGCGGCTGTAACTGCCGTCGTACCTGTCACAATCTGGAACTCCCAGAAGCGAGTGTCCTTCGGGTCGCGCCGAGCCCTGATGGTGCCACCCTTGACTCGCTCGGCCAGCTCGGTATTCCCCCAGCTCTTCTCTGCCGTGGCGAGCGGTGCCCAGCGCCCAGTCCTCAGCCACGGTCCTGGACCTGTTAATGCTGACTTCCTGCACGTAGCTAATGTAGTGGCCGCCGCACGTGCCCTTGTCCAAGACCCACTTCTTCAGCAGCGGCTGCTTCTTCTCGTTTGCCCCGCTGCCCTTTGTTGAGTTCTTGTAATCTCCATCAACACCTCCGCTCTGTCTGCTCTTCTCGAACATCTTCCACGCGCTCATCTGGGTGTTCTTACCCACGTTCTTGAACTTCTCACCCACCTCGTCCTCAGTCGTGACACCGTCCGCACTCGAGTACACTAGCTGCTCGTGCAGCTTCAGACTATCTTCCGTGAGCGCGGCGGGCGCCGCCGCCGATGGCCCCCGCAGAGTCGCCCTCGCCGCAGCAGGTTTACGGAGGGCGTTGACCATCACGAGCGCAATCGACCACCAGGTGGATCGCAGAGATATGGTTTGAGCCAAAATGTGCTACACCAACCAGCATAATCAACCGATGGATTCGTGCGAATTCACGTGAACCGTTGTGAATTCAGAAGTCGCCATGAGCCTTTCATGGGGCCATCTGTGACTACGTGTTATTACGTGTGAAGCTTCAAGCGTTCACGTGAATTCACGTGAACGTCTGTGAATCAAACACGGTGCCCACGCCTCCTCCTCATCCTCCTCCTCCTCCTCCTCCCCCATCGCTGTTGTTTCAAACTCGATTGACAATAAAAATAGCCCCCTCCTCTCCGTTCCTCCTCCGCCCCCCCTCCCCCCCCCCCTTGCCGAACCATGACGCACGAGAGACCCCTTTGGCGCACGTGGAGCTGCAGAGCGTGCCCCATGTCTCCACATGGCCCCGTAGGGCCCCGTAGGTCTTAAGTGCACCTGATGGCCCTTCGGGGCGTTCCAGGGCCGCCGTCGCCGCCGCCGTCGTCGTGCCAACCAGATCGGAATAGACCAGACCAACCAGACCATGCCAACCAGACCAACCAGACCAGACCAACCACAGTAGACTAACGAGACCAACCAGACCAGACAAACCAACCCAACCAGACCAGACAAACCAGACCAGACCAAGCAAACCAAGCAGACCAGACCAGACCAGACCAAACATGTTAACATGCATATTTTGTTGCATGATACTCGGTCATGCTCTGTTTTTTCTCGTGGCCCTAACAGCCCTGACGGCCGCGGGAAACAATGTTGCATTGGAGGGCGACGAGGGCACGAGGGAGACGAGGAGGAAGACGGGGCCGAGGGGGAAGCAACACGTCAGCATGCATATTGCCAAGGGGCGACTGTGAGGGCGACAGCCTTGCTCCTGGTCTTGCTGCAAGTCCTAGTCCATACCAGTCCAACCACATCAGAACAGACAAACCAGACCAGACCAGCCAAGACCATGCCAAACCAGACCAGGCCAACACCAATCAATACCATCCTGCATGGGGCGGGGGGCGGGGGGTGGGGGCGACAGACCTACTGTATTGCTTACCGATCGTCTTATTCGTAGCTGTACTCCTAGATGGGGTGGTTGGCGGGGTGACGGCCCTATTCGCAGTCTCGTTGCTTGTCCTAGTCACAGCTGCAATCATACATGGGGGCGGTGGGGGCGACAGCCTTGCTCCTAGTTGTGCCGCTAGCCCTATTCACATATGCACTACCACGCGGGGGTCGGCGGGGCGGCAACCCAACCCCCAGAAGGATAAGATGGGGATGTCGGGGAGTAGAAAACTCGGAATGGGGCATGTGCATCCATACCACTCTCCGATCAACCATTCAATAACAGTCATTGTTTACTTCATGTGGGTTTCGTTTGTTGCTTGATTTTTTACGAGATCAAACGACGCGGTCAACATCATATAATCAATAATTGCACGATCAAGTTTCGAACCATCGAAGTGTGGTTCCAATTTGAGACGCACGGGCACCCTATGCACTGCGAGTCGACATCAGATGCTTGCGTGGTCAACTCATTTACCGAGCATGTGACCCTTGGCAACAACCACGTCCTTGAGCTTCATGCCTTTCTTCAACATGTTCATGGGCTGCCCGGCGAGCTTCGCGTTCTCTTTTGAGTTGTTGTATTTCTTGATCTTTATCAGCTGGGAACCGCCGCTCTCACGCGCCGCAACTGCATTGTTATTCTAAAACATAAGGTGCATGCGCGCATTCTCGAATGTGGCATTGGGGTCTTTGGAGTCTCTGGCCTTGGACGTTGCCTTAGCTTTCGCCTTGGCAGTCGCCTTCGCCAACTTTTTCTCACCACGAATTGCGCCTACTGCGACCCAGATGTCTTTCTTCCTCGCTGGCACTGGGCTCGTTCCGAGCGCTTCTTTGAGCACGCTAGCTGGGTCGATGGGCTTTGAGGTAGCAGCAGACGGTTTTTTTTGCCACGTATGTAAAACGATGCTCTGGCGCGTCCGACTTCTCGTCATCGAGGTCGCTGTCCTCGTAGTTGGGCGTCTTGGGTATGTCAAGGTCCATCAAGTATGTCATTTTGATATCGGTGCCGGGTGAGCACTCCATCACGTGAAGGCCCTTGCCCGTGCAACTTCTCATGGGGGTCTGAAACTCAGAAGCGTCATCGGTGGTTGCGTCCATCAGCATGGCGCGAATCCCATTGAGCGATCTCCCTTGGAACTTGGTGCGATTGCTCATCGCCTCCCGCAGCCTTTTCTCGTCATTTTGGCGCCTCGCGTGGTTGCACATCGTCATGATCCTGTCAGAAATGCCCCCTGCCACGCAGCAGTGCTCGCATGCTGGGAAAGAGTCCAGTACCTTGGGGGACACACGAATAACTTGTCAAATAGCCGACTTGATATCGCTGCATTTGAACGTACGTGTATCTGAGACTTGATGCAGCATCTCTAGGAATTGTTTTGATGATGCCAATGCAGGTTCATTCACTGCACGTTGCTTCGACATCTCTCTGCCAGGTCCAAAATCGAAGGCAGTCGAGCGACCGACTTTCGAGACCCAACTCATGAACGCATCTGCCAAGTGCTCCTCGTCCACTTCGGGAACCTTGACCCTCCTGACAGTGCGTTTCTGCGAGCCAGAGCGACCCGCCATGTTGCGCAATTGGCACGATCCAATTGGTCGAGAAAGCTGGCTGCGCACCAGAAAGATAGCGAACGAGTTAGGAAGTAAAACGATGGTGGTTCATGCGGATACGTCGCAATCCTGGTTGAGGGAAAACTGCGACGGGAACGCCAATGTATATGGCGATGCCCCTTAGGGCCCCGTGGGTCCGAAGTGCCCCCGAGGGCCCCCTGGGGCTTTCTAGGGCCGCCGCCGCCGTCGCCGTCGTGCCGACCAGACCTGAACAGACCAGACCATACCAACCAGACCAACCAGACCAGACCAACCAGACTCTTGCCATCGCTCGGACGTCCATTCCCTGTGCATCTTTCTGTTTCGTGAGTGTTTTTGCTTGCTCGATGAACAAACCAGCCCAACCAGACCAGACCAACCAGGCCATACCAACCAAACCAAACAGACCAACCAGACTGGTGGTGGCGGGGCGGGGTGGGGTTGGTTGGGGATCCTTTAAGGGAAAGCACAGAACCGACACAAATCTCAACAATCCAACGATGCGTGAAACCACAAAACAAGAAAAACTATAAAACATAAGGACGTTCACTCAAAAAACAAAGGCTTGCATAACAAGAAAACGCGTTTTGACGGCAAGCTCTCGCGACCAAACTTGTCCGAATAGTTTGATCAACGGGCGACCGTGGCGTAGGACGACAGGGGCGAGAACGGGGGGAACCATCATTCGAGGCCAGCCACCCAGATCTAAACGCACAAGAGGGAACGACATATAATTAATCTTATGTTGTTCCCTCCGGTGTTCCTTTTTTTGTTGACTGGCCGCGCGTGTCGCCTCCCCCTCTTCGTCGTCGTGCTCGTCCTCTTCCTCCTCTTCCCCGGCCTCGCGAGGTCGGCCTCGGCCCCCCCCCCGGGGCCGCCGCATTCGCCCGCCCTGCCCCTCTTCCCGTCTGCGCGGCCCTGGAGGGAACAACATAAGATTGACACGCGCAGCCGCCGCTCCGCATATCAATCTTATGCTGTTCAGTCTCGGGCCGCGAGGATGCGATGAGTAAAATGCCGATCGAACCCGGCACCTCTCGGGGGGGGGAGGGGCGGACGACCGAGGCGGAGGACGACGGGGACCCATAGGGGGCTCAACCGAATGCCCCCGTGGGAAAGCACGCATGCCCCCTCCCCCCCCTCCCCCCCCTCCTCTCACCACCACGCACACACACAAACCCGTACACACATACCACACACACACAACCACCACCATCACCACCACATATACACACAAACACCATCCCACCACCACCCACCCACCCACCCACCCATCCACCCACCCACCCCACGCCACCACCACGACCAACAACATCAACAACAACAACAACAACATCAGCAGCAGCAAAAACAACAAACACAACCACAACACACACACAGACACACCACCACCACCAGCACCCACCCACCCACCCACCCATCCACCCGCCCGCCCACCCGCCCACCCACCCACTCACCCACACACCTACCCACCTACTCACCCACCAACCAACCAACCCACCCACCTCCCACCACCCACCACCCACAACCCACCACCACCCGCCCACCCACCACCACCACCGCCACCGCCACCCACCGCCCCCCCCCCCCTCCCCCTCCTCCTCCCCCCCCCCCAACACACACACACACACACACACACACACACACACACACACACACACACGCACACACGCACGCAACGCACGCACGCACGCACGCACGCACGCACGCACGCACGCACGCACGCACGCACGCACGCACGCACGCACACACACACACACACAAACACACACACAAAACACACACACACACACGCACCACACAAGCACACACGCACGCACGCACACACACACACACCACCCACCACCCACCACCCACCACCCCACCACCCACCACCCACCACCCACCACCCACCACCCACCACCCACCAACCACCCACCACCACCAACAACAAGATCAACAACAGCACCAACAATAATTTTAAGACCGTTCGCCCTTATATGCTCGAGTGTCCAATAACGCGCATGTCCCAAACCCTCGATACCGATCGAACCCCTTTTGGGGGGTATGCCTTTCTTCCCTGCAGGCCAGGCCCCGGCGAGCGGCGGGGCGGCCGCGGACCGTCGGCCTGGCCAGCGGCAGCGCTGATCGGCGGGGCGGCCGCGGACCGTCGACCCGACCCCAAGAGGGACGGACAGGGGACCGACCACGACGACGACGACGACGACGATGACGACGACGTCGAAGACGACGGCGACGACGACGACGGCGACGACGAGCGAAAGCGAGAGCGAGAGAGAACGACAGCAGGGCCACGAAGGGCACGAAGTAGGCCACGAAGGGCGGCAGCGGGG